AGCTCGTTTAGGCTCGCGAGCCCATGAATTGAAGCTCGGCTCGAGCTCGTTTAATAAACGAGCCTCATATTCAGGCTCGAGCTCGGCTCAGGCTCGTTTAATTCGATCTCGAGTAGAGCTTTTAACGAGTCGATCCCGAGTAGCTCACGAGTAGTTCGGCTCACTTACACCCCTAGGCACTGGTGCGATGTAAGCTCTTGCTTCTCTCTCACAGTTGGTGATTTTGAAGGTCATGTGTCCTCGGTTTGTTTGTCGTTGGCTTAGAGATCCATGTTGGATGTTATTATCTTTATTGCTCGGTGTGTGTTTATGCAACTTTAATAATAACTGTGTTTTTTTTATCACACTAGACCAAGATACAACAAGATTTCTAATGACATAGTTACTTTTTTTCATAGGAAGCATAAATGTTCATGTTGTTTGGAATTTATGGCTTTAAAACCCAATTTTAAACATTTCGATGTATTAGGTCTGCTTTTTCAATAGCGCCTTACTAGTGTCTTTTTTTAATGTAATTAAGTTGTTTCGAAAATATTAACACTACGCATTTGACCATGACTTAACATAATATAACCATCTTTAGACCAAAAGTGGTAGCCACATTGTTAGGAGGGATTAGAATTGAAAAATAAAAGTAAGACTAGTCATTTAAGTCAAATTGTGGTCAAAATAGGCAAATACGAGGTTTAGGGGTGTAAATTATCAATGTACCAACGATATGAGCTAGTTACCTTCTTCTTCATTTCTCCCATTTTCAAAAATAAGATTAGACATAGGGAAAGAGAATCAATGATGATTTCAAGCATTTAAAGGACATTAGAAATGTAGATTAAAGCCTTAGTGTTAGGAACTTTGGAAAGGTACAATTCATCACCTTAATTCTATTAATTTCGAGTTAGGGTGTTGGAGAAATCTGCAATTTGAAAATCAAACATATTAGAGATGTTTGAATGAAGTTTTAAGTTAGTCTTGATCATTAGGTTGCTAGTCTTCTTTTATGATAAATATTTCTAACTTGAGTTTGAGCATAAATGAGTTTTTGAAGTTTTAAAACTCTACCAACGGTGGAACTCCGAATTTGAACTTGTTCTCATGAAATAATTGTACTTTTAAAGCTCTCTTTGACGTTTCTAAGCTTTATTTGAGTTAAGAAATCCATCATTTGTTAGTAATCACACCTTATGGATCTAATTTGATGTTTCATGTTTGACTTATGGCTTCAATGAAGTTTCAAGCACTACTTGTGATATAATTTGGATTTGATATATTAAAATTCATTTCAATGTCATATGTTTGATTCACTAAGTCAAATTGAAAGATAGTTTGTTATCATGTATATTTACTAAAGGTTTAGTTAGAATTTAAAGTTTTATGAATCCGTGGAACTAAATCAACCTTTTAGTTGTTCAAAGCATTAGAAAATAAAAAATGTGTACTTATGTTCTCAAATGGTTAATAACATGGAAGTCGTTAAGAACATCATATCTAAATAGTTCCCTTTAAGGTGAGGTGGTAACCATAAGCATTAGTGGTTGCATGCAGTTTGCAAACGTCTGAACCTACAAATTATTAGACCATCAGTTATAACCATATTAATAAAACTAAAACTACAACCAACAAATCTTGTATTAAAATTGAATCTTACCGTGCAACCCATACTCCTAATGCGACAAACAAGAACGCAAAAGTCAAATCAGTCGAAGTCAAATCAATCGCGCTCATTTTAGCCATAGATAAATTATATTTATGGTGGTAAAGATATGTACGTTTAAACCTTAAACGATACATATGCATGAAGAACCAGACTACAAAATGCCAGTTCAGAATAATTATTTGGAATGTCAGACGGACCCCATTTTATATACAATTAGTTATGTCAACAAAAAGTACATCGACAATGTTATCTCTAATTAAAGTTCTAAAATGTCAGATCCTATAACATTTTCTGTCATAATCAATTAGAATCAGTATGATTTCACATAATTTCAGTGTAATTGGAAACATAGTATTTGGAATCACTTGTGGTTTTTCGTAAGCAAATGAAAAGTGGGTCGTATGTATTTATTCTACAATATCTTATGGTATTTCTATGAATTTCTCAAATTTCACTTTAGTAAAAGTAAATCAGTTCTTGCTTTTGGTTATCATTCAATAATTTATAAGAAATGGCTTTCTACATTGTTTTGAGAAAAACAACAGATATTATGTGTCTACCAACATGACAAAATAGATAAACATATCAATGTAGTTAGATTTTCTATTGGATTACAATTTAAACAAAAAATAATTTCCAGTTACATATAACATAATTATAATCTTATAATCATATTAATTCAAATGTTTCTTTAATATTACTTTACATTATTAAAGCATCTATACTTTTGTCTCAATCATTTGTCTTCTCGTTCTATATCCCGAATAGACAATTCACGTTAATTAATAGCTTAACAAAATAAAATATTAATATACTTACAAATATCTAAATATGATAGATCATGATCATCGTTCATCGTTCATCGTTCATCAATATCTGTACTTTACTTAATTACTTCGATGTTGAATATTCAGTACCATGGCTTTGAAATATGGCCAAGTAAATTGCAATTCAGTTTTAAGCTAATCTATGAGCTACTACATATGTACATACAAACAGTCAGACACCAATCTCCACCTCAAACTACCAGCACTGATCTGTTTCCCATCTCCGGCCACTGTATCCGGTGAATTCTCCCGACGACGACGAACTCCTAACAGCCACTTTCTGTCTCCCGAACAGACTCCGATCATAATCGGCTCGTTTTCCTGGATCCGACAACGTAGCGTAGGCAGAATGCACCTTCATGAACTCATCCGCTGACGAATCATGGTCTCTTACATCCGGGTGCAAAACTCTCGCTAATCTCCGGTACGCAGCCTTGATCTCAACCGTATCAGCTCCGATTTGGATCCCGAGCACTTCGTATAGTGACGATTGTTGAGTAGCAATGCGTGAAGATCTGGGAGTGGCGGTTGCGTAAGTGGCTGAAATCCGAGATTTGGCGCTTCTGGCGGAGGTTGACGGCGTTAATGGGTGTTGATTGGCGGAGAAATTGGGGGAAGTGAAGAAGCAAGATGAAGTTGAAAATGCCATATTTTGGAATGTAGATATAAAATTTGTGTGAAGTGAGATGAATTGGATAAGGGTTTGGATTATAATTATATAGATGCGTAGAATCGAATTGTGATGAGTTGGATTTTTAAATGAATATATTCGAGGTTATCCATTCATTCATTTTACATTTATTTGCTGGTATCGATTGGGTTAGGGTTATGGGGTCAGGATGTGAGTCGGCAAACAACGTATGGTAGGGATGAATGATAATGTCGGTATATGAAGAAGAAAATCGACAATTTACTTTTTCTTATATGATCTCATCAAAATTACTTCCAATAGAAGAAAACAAAACACACCCTATTCATTGTACGATAAAAGAATCTTAACCAAAATCGAGTGTATAAAAGTTTAATGTCGACAATGATAATAGATTTTTTTGGGATAATGAATTGAATCACTAATAAACTTTTAATTTTATTTATATTTAGTTACTAATTTTTTTTTCATGTTATATATATATATATATATATATATATATATATATATATATATATATATATATATATATATA